CCCGACGCCCGGACGTGCTTTCCCCGCGCGGGGGGCTCGCTTAGGTCTCTTACGTCTGCCCCTGCCCGGCTCCCGGCGGCCCCAGCTGTCACCGGTAAGGAGGCGGCGGGAGGCGCTGGTGGGGGGGCAGGGAGCCGGGGGTCGGCGCGCAGGGCGCGGGCGGGAGAGCCTTGTCGCCCTGGCCTCGGGTCGAACTGGGGCAACCAAAGTCCCTTCTCGGACTTGCTGTCGTGGGGAGTAGAGACCCGGACTGGGACACGCCCCCCTCCCGGGGCACTCGAGGAAGTTATCTAACCCGGGGGCAGGGAGCCCCGAATTTGAGAGTGACCTGACATAACCTGGCACCAGGATGATTGTTCTGAATGAGACACGCAGGCCCGGGAACACAGCCGTTTCTACTCTGGAAAACATCTTCAGAAAAGCTCCCAAAACATCTCTGGGCAACAGAGCACCCCAATTATCATACCTCTAAACAGGAGGGGACGGTGAAACTGATTGGTAACCTTCCCTTCTGCAACCATCATTTCTCCTAAAATCTCAAGGCCAGGATAAAATATCCCAGGAGCGCTCTGGAAGCTGGGAAACTAGAGAACTAGGTTGGTTGGGGGACGGGGGGAGACGAGTAGATGTTAGGGGAGAGGAGAGCCAGTCACCAGAGTTGGAAGAGCTGGAGTCAAGAAGCTGGTGAGAGGTGCCCAGTGGTTTCCTATACAGGTGTCTCAGGGATTTGGATAGTGGGGGTGCAGATCCTTGACAGAAAAATAGGCAAAGAAAATGAGGAATCTTTCTCAGCATTCACAACCTTCTCCCCATCTCATTTCTGGGTAGGCCCCCCCCAGGATGCAATGGCGCAGCCCCCCCGGCTGAGCCGCTCTGGTGCCCCCTCACTTTGGGACCCAGCTTCCCCTGCTCCCACCTCAGGCCCCAGGCCTCGACTTTGGGAGGGTCAAGATGTGCTGGCCAGATGGACTGATGGGCTGCTATACTTGGGCACCATTAAGAAGGTAAGACCTTCTACACCTGATCTCTCACTTCCTGCTCATTCCCCTTGTCTAATTCTGGTTCCCATTTCATACTCTGTGCTCACCCATTCCAGGTGGACAGTGCTCGGGAGGTGTGTCTGGTTCAATTTGAGGACGATTCCCAGTTTCTGGTTCTATGGAAGGACATTAGCCCTGGTGAGACCCTAAAGTTCCGAAATCGTGCTTCCGAACAGAAATTTGGCTTGCAGGACAGAAAGGAGATTAAGGGCAGGCCTCCTGACACCGTGTTCCCTCACAGCTGCTCTTCCTGGTGAAGAACTCCTCTGTTGTGTCTGTCGCTCTGAGACTGTGGTCCCTGGGAACCGACTGGTCAGCTGTGAGAAGTGTCGCCATGGTGAGAGGACAAGACACCCTGGACCTTCCAGGCTACCTCTGGCCCTTCCCTCCAGCACTGGTCCTTATGTCACCTGTCATGGCCTAAGTATGCAGGCCACTGCTCTGGCTAGTCTCTATTCCATAGTAACCTTGCCCCCTTCCTGCATAGGGAGAGACAACCATAGAATGGGGGTAGTGTAAGCTTTACAGGCAAAGGGTGGTTAAAATACACCCTTTTCAAACCATATGATCCTTGGCAAGTCCCTAAACCCCTAGGAGCCTCACCTCCCTCACTATAAAATGAGGATAATGCACCTGCCCCAGCAGGACCATGGTTAAGGGTTAAATAAAATAAGTAAGACTATTCCTATCCCAATACCAAGCACACGCAGGTATGCTATATGATAAGTGGCCTACTATCAACCTTATCATTCATTATTCAGCTTATCACCAGGACTGCCACGTTCCCAGGGCTCCAACCCCTGGAGAAGGAGAGGGCACATCCTGGGTCTGCCGCCAGTGTGTCTTTGCGATCGCCACCAAGGTAAACTCACCTCTCTGTTACCCCTTCCTGTGGGAGCCTCCCACCCACAGCTTCTCCCAAGCCTCTCCTCTCTCCACCCCTCTGAAGCCTCCCACCTGTTCTATCTCTGCAGAGGGGGGGTGCACTGAAGAAGGGCCCTTATGCCCGGGCTATGCTGGGTATGAAGCTCTCTCTGCCATATGGACTAAAGGGGCTGGATTGGGATGCTGGACATCTGAGCAACCGACAGCAGAGCTACTGTTACTGTGGTGGCCCTGGGGAGTAAGTAATGAGGGGTGGCAGATTATGAATGAGAGATGTAGTGATAGATCCCAGGGAATAAAAGAGAAATAACAGGGTGAGAGGAACACTGAGGGGGATGGGAGGTAGGTGACAAGCAGGGGTTGGGGCAGTTATGGGGAAGAGGGTGGCTGGAGGCCACTAATCCTATGTTCCCCCTCAGATGGAACTTGAAAATGCTGCAGTGCCGGAGCTGCCTGCAGTGGTTCCATGAGGCCTGCACCCAGTGTCTGAGCAAGCCTCTCCTCTACGGGGACAGGTGAGACCAGGGCCGACTCTCTAGGAGCCGAGGACGTCCTCTTGCTCTGTGCTGCACCCTCTCAGTTCCCCCACGCACTTCTCCACTTCAGTCCCTTCCCAATCTCTGCAGCATTTTCTCACCTGTTTGCACCATCCCTGCTTGTGAGTCCTCCACATGGTATAGTTTTCTCATATAAGGTTCTTTCCCTCTTGCCCATGTCCAGGTTCTATGAGTTTGAATGCTGTGTATGTCGGGGGGGCCCTGAGAAGGTCCGGAGGCTACAGCTTCGCTGGTGAGCTGGATTGGGTACCACTTCGGCATATCTCCTCTCTCAGTACCCCCAGTATTTCAGCCTATATGCCCCAACCTCCCACCTCAGGACTCCTCTGGCTTTTGTAATGTTTCTGTGGCCTTGACAACTCGATGTTTCTCTAGGGTGGATGTGGCCCATCTTGTCCTCTATCACCTCAGCGTTTGCTGTAAGAAGAAGTACTTTGATTTTGACCGCGAGATCCTCCCCTTCACCTCCGAGAATTGGGATAGTTTGCTCCTGGGGGAGGTAAGGGGTAGTGGAGTTTTGGGGGTTGGGGTGGGACAGGGAGACACAGAGGAAAGGGGAAGTGAGGGAATCACTGCTCCCCTGACCCCATTTTCCTTACCCTCCCCCAGCTTTCAGACACCCCCAAGGGAGAACGTTCTTCCAAGCTCCTCTCTGCTCTCAACAGCCACAAGGACCGGTGAATTGGAGGGAGGGATAGGAGAGGGGGAGGCTCAGAAAGAGATGGGCTGCAACCACCTGGAAGACCATATCTGAAAAGGATCAAGTAATGGCATAAGGGCGGCCCATTTCTACAGCACTGACCCTACGTCATTTCTCTCCTCCCCCCAGTTTTATTTCAGGGAGGGAGATTAAGAAGAGGAAATGTTTGTTTGGTCTCCATGCTCGGACGCCTCCCCCTGTGGAGCCCCCTACTGGAGATGGATCCCCGACCAGGTCACTGGTCCAGGGGGGATGGGGGAAATTCTCAGAACATTAGTCTGGCGGGTATATGTATAGAGATGGGGAGGTCTTTGGGGTGTCCGGGAGGGGGCTGGGGGGATAAGGAGGCCTCTTACAGCTTCCCTTCAGGGCAGGGCCCTGGGGGAGGGGTCTCACGTCCCCTGGGGAAGCGCCGGAGGCCGGAGCCAGAGCCCCTGAGGAGGAGGCAGAAGGGGAAGGTGGAGGAGCTGGGGCCATCCTCAGCAGTGCGCAATCAGCCCGAGCCCCGGGAGCAGAGGGAGCGGGCTCGTCTGCAGAGGGCACTGCAGGTACCAGGGCAGGAGAACCCCATGGGGCGAATGGTGGGGTATGGGAAGGAAGCAAGGATTACCTCTCAGTCCTTTGCCCCTTCTTCTAGGCCTCAGTGTCTCCACCGCCCCCCAGTCCTAACCAGAGTTATCAGGGCAGCAGCGGTTACAACTTCCGGCCCACAGATGCCCGCTGCCTGCCCAGGTCAGTGCTGCTCTGCCCCACAACCAGATAACGTTCCCAATTATTTACAGCCTCTGGACTTTTTCACCCAGAATTCTTTTCCCTTTCCCCCTTGGCTACCCATTTCCTTTCCTAGGGATACTTATAGAACCAATGTCTGGTACCTGGTATTCTGGGGCTGGGGTTCCCTTGGGTGGTAGTGTTTGAGCTCTGTCCTTTCCAGGGGGAGAGGGCCCTGTTTCCCTACTTCAGATTCTGACTTTCCCACTCTCCAACTTCAGCAGCCCCATCCGGATGTTTGCTTCCTTCCACCCTTCTGCCAGCACTGCAGGGACCTCTGGGGATGGTGAACCCCCAGACAGGTGAGATTCTGTTCCTTTACCAATGATGTCCCTCTTCCCCTCTGTTTTCTAGTTCCTTAGTCTCTAACCATTTCTTCATTCCTCTGATCCACATGTGGCTTCCATTTCTGGTCAGTTCTTGTTTGCATCTATCTGGACTCACAATTGCCTTCTTTTCCCTAGGTCACCCCTGGAACTTCACATTGGTTTCCCTACAGACATCCCTAAAAGTCTCCCCCACTCAATGACTGCCTCATCTTCCTCAGTCCCAGCCCCCTCCCCAGGTCTTTCTCGACGCTCAGCACCCCCTTCCCCTCTGTGCCGTAGTTTGTCTTCTGGGACTGGGGGAGGAGTTCGAGGTGGGGTTGGCTACTTGTCCCGAGGGGACCCCGTCCGGGTCCTTGCTCGGAGAGTACGGCCTGATGGCTCTGTGCAGTACCTGGTTGAATGGGGAGGAGGGGGCATCTTCTGAACAACCTGCTTCTGCCCACCTCCCCATTCATACACATCGGCACTTTTATACCCTGACCTCTGACCTCACCTACAGCTGGGATGTACCTGGAGAAACAGGGGGTAGTTATCCCTACTGCCCAGGCTGGAATCCAGGTGGGAGGTGGGGAAGAGGCTCTCTCTTCTCTACCCCCTTTATGATTCCTGACCACCCCTCCATCCTTCTTCCCATTTCCTTTGATGTATTTTGTTACAGCTTTTAAAATATTTTTTAAAATTATTTAATCCCTGGGGGCAGAGACTGAGGAGGGGGGATGATAAGGGATCCCGTACTCTGTATGATTGAAATAAAGAGAAATAAACAAATCTAGCAGACCCAAGTCATTCTGAAAGATGGAGAGAATACAAGAACTAGAAGTACTTCTCATCTTCCCCAACCAAATTCACATACACGACAAGAAAAAAAGGCAAAAGGCAGAGAGAACCAAATATAGGATTTACTGGGGACCTGGTCATCATCTGAAAGTCAGAGGGCATTGAAGTAGGTGAGGGGATCCTGGCAGGAACAGAGCCCATCATGGTAGGACTGTGCTGGAGTCAGAAACTGACTCTGTGACCTGGCGTACCCAATGCAGGTATGGGGAGTTCCCCTGCTCCACAGGCAATGCAATCACCTCAGCCACTTCATAAGGATGCACAGAACTGCAAAAAAGACGGGTGTGGATGTGTGTGTGGGGGTTACTCAATGATTTACCCTAAGGAGCCCATTCCCTCAGACACGAGCTCTATAGTATCCAGCAAGTCCAACCCCACAGTACACACCCTCACCCCTATCCATTTCAAAGTTCTCACCGAACAAAATCTGTCAAAGCTGGGACCAAGGAACTTTGGGTTTTAATCATCTAAAGGGCAAAGATAAACATGGTTTAATCAAGGGGTAGGATGGATTTCAGATGAGGGATGGGATCAAAGGGATCAGGGAATTGGGGAAATTTTGTTAGGTGGGGGAGGGTTTCTCACCATCAGCACCTCACTGTCTTCCTCAATCTTTCCTTTCCACTCATAGCTGAAAAGGTGAGAGGGGGAAGACAGTGGTGGAGAGCAAAGATTTCCCCCCAGGAAAAAGGCTCCCAGTCAGCCCCTAGAGTTAGGTTAGCCACCCCAACCCCTATGACTCACATGGATGTAATTTGAGGGATGAGGTTGACGCAGGCTGCTAGGCGCTTCTCCACCACAGCCCTGAAGGTGAAGAGACAGCCCCATTCTGAGCACCCCGTGACCCGGAGTTTTGCACTGGCAGCCAGGGACAGGCTTCCAAAACTGGAGAGAGGAGGAAGCAATCTTCTCCCCTACCCCCAACTCTCCCTTCTTGATCATCCTTCCTCGTTCTACCCGAGGTCCCCACCTGGCAATCTCCTTGGCGACCTTCTCGTTGGGGCAAGTGACAAAGGCTGCAGACACCGAGCCCGGAACGTAGCCGGAGCCCGAGGCCGGCGAGGGCTGGGACAGGGTACTTCCAGAGGCCATGATCATCAGGGATCGGGGTAGCAACAGAAGGCGGGAAGCCACGGGCAAAAGCGCCGGCATCCAAAGAAACGACAGGAGCAGAGCGGCCTGAGAGCAGGGGGCGAATTCGTTCTCTTCCCCACAAATACCCCGGGAAATTGCACCTCGAGAAACCTCCGCTTGAATAGACACTCAGGCTCTGCCCTCCCTCTTCCGCACCCGAAGGAAAATGTCCCCGAGGCTGGGAGAGAAACTTGGAAAATTAAGGCAAAGACTCGGTTTTCACCCACACCTCAGGGAGCCAAACCTCTGGGATTTGGGGTATAGGTAGTGGTCCAGCCTCCGAGGACCGGAAGGGGCGGGGTCGGTAACTCACCCCTCCGCCGAGCAGGATAGCGGGAGCCCGCCCCCTCCCCATGCAGCCTAAGCTGGTAGAGGAGGGTTGATATCAAAGGCCGCACGTTACACGGAGAAGGGAACCCAAACCTAGGAAGAGCGGCCTCTTCTTACCTGGGTGGCAGCCACGTGATAAGAAAACAGCGCACACCACGTGACAGCAGAAGCCAGACCATCCGAGCCTCCAGACCCAGCCAATCCTGGCCCTCACATGGGCCTGTTTGCCCCGCCTATTGGCGAGGGAGGAGCGAAGGGAGCTTGACCAATCGACAGCAGGATCTGCAGACGTGCGCGGAAGTGGCACGCCTGTTTCCGTGTAAACCGGAACAGCCAGTTGCTGGCTGAGGAGAGTCTCTGCGGCGTTCCACTGTCACGTGAGGGGGTCGGCCCTCTGGGCGGCAAAACCTCAGTGAGTGACGCGAAGGGGCCAATCGCTGGCCAGCCCCGCAGGCCACGTGATGAGAGAGCTGGCGCTATGGGAGGGGGTCGGAGACCCCGCAGTCTTGATGCGTCAGGTTGTGGAGTGGAGAATAACCCTTAAAATGCAGAATGTACCTAGTAACTGCCCCTACACTGTTTCAGAGACCTTAAGGAGTGTGAGAGTCTGAGAATGAACCTCAGGGGGTGAAGAGAGAGCCCCCTACCCTTTTGGTTAGGGCTGCGATATGTGTGGGTTGGGGAATGAACAACGATGGTCTGAGAAGCCAGCTGTCCCTGGTAGGGGGGAGTAATTAGGCAGGCACGGGCATGGCAAGACAATGGCTAGATGAGGAAAGATGCATTTTAAAAGAACAGAGCTAGACCCTGTAAATGGGATAGAGGATGATGAAAATGGGGCTGAGGCGCCCTAACTCAAACTAACTGAAAACCCAAAGCTTGAGACAGACTGATAACTCAAAGGAAAGGAGAGACAAGGGTTGCAGATTGGGGAAGTAGTGATGGTCCTTTTGTCCCCTCTCCCCTGTCTATTCCACTCTCCAAGATTGGTCCACCTCTCAGCCTTGGATCTCCTTTCTTTAACCCATCCCCCAAGGAGCCAGGACCTGCCCTACATAACCTCCCTGGAGCCCAATCACATTCAGTGACCCAAAAAATGGAGAGAGGGGCCAATGAGAGGCGAGAGAGGTGGGAGGAGGCATCAGAGAAAAAGGTTCTTGCCACTCCCCCTACCCAACATTCCTCCTCCCTCCAAGGCCTGGGGTCACTGGTCTGGTGGTGGGTGTGCCTAGGAGTTTCTCAGGCTGATGTCATGGTCTTACTTTTCTGGAGTTGGGGGTTCTCCCTGAGATCTCTGTCTTCGGGTTTGGAGTTTGTCTCTAAGAGGGATCTCTGTGGGGTCTTTCAGTATTTGCATTGGGATCTTTCTCAGGACTGAGTTTCCTTTTATGTTTTCTGCTTTGGGGGGTTCTGTGTTTTAGGATCCGTGGTCGCTCTCTCTGAGGTCTTTCAGTCTCTTCTTTATGAGTTTTGGGTCTCTGTGTTCTCCATCTCTGGGGTAGCTGAGTCTCTTTCTCTCTCATCTCACTCTAAGTCTGGCTTTTCTCTGTCTCTCAGTCTCTGAGTTATCCATCTCTGAGTCTGCAAATTCTTTTCTCTGAGATCTGAGTCTGGGGTCTCTCTCATCTCTCTAGGGGTCTCAGTTCTCTAAGATCTAATTCTAGGTCTGGGTCTTCCTGAACTTGGGTCTCATTTTATTAAGTCTGGGTCTCAGATCTTGGTTCCTGAAATCACCATCTCAGGGTATGGAGTATAAGATTTTTGTGGCTATGGAGAACACTTTTGAGAATAGATTCTCAGATTTTGCTCTTTGGCTCCTCCCTCAGGGGGGCCTGGGGTCTTTTTTTCTGAAATCAGGGGTTTCTTTTCCTCTAGATTTTGGGTCTGTGTCTCAAATTAATCCACGGGGTTGGGGGTGAGAGGGGACCAAGTTGTCTTTTCTCTTTGGGTCTGGGGTTTCAGTCTTAGAGTCTGGGGTCTGCATCTTTAGGACCGCCTGCTCTGATGTGTTTTTGAGTCAGGGGTCTCTCTCTTTCTCTCTGTTTCTCTGGGTCTCCCTGAGTAGGGGTGGGGGCTGCAGAGTCTCTCCCTCCTCCTCCTCCTGCTCTCTCCTCTCTCGCTCGCTCCCCCGCCCCCCTCTCTCTGGGCTGCCGCTGCTGCCGTTGGCTCTTATTCTCCTCCTCCTCCTCCTCTCTCCTCCTCTCTGCTCCTCTCTGCTTCTCTCTCCTCCTCTCTCCTCCTCCTCCTCCTCCACCTCCTCCTCCTTCTCCCCCTCTCTCTCCCCCTCTTTCTCTCTTCTCTTTCTCCCCCGTCCCCCCGCCCCCTCCCCCCCAGGCCTGATGAGCAGGTCTCGCGCCTCCATCCATCGGGGGAGCATCCCCGCGATGTCCTATGCCCCCTTCAGAGGTACGGTGGTGGGG